TGGTGCCTTACCCAACTTTTCACTAGTGCTGTGCAAGTGTGGCTTTTGTATCGCCCACTCCTTCAGTGAGAGGGCTGCTGCCATTAAACCTCAAGGAGAGGCAGCAGGAGTCTTTGCTGCTATGGGGGAAACAGGTAGATCAGTTCTTCCAGGATGCATCAGGTGTGTTAGTCAGCTCCAGAAGAAAATGGGCTTTGATACAGTTCGCATTGTCCTAGGACAGTCATTAAATCAGCCTTTTTTTTCCAATAAGCTGAAGTCAATAAGCAAACAAAAATATGGATGTAGAGCTTTCAAAACTGTATTTTCTGCATCATCCTTCATCCATCAGCAGATGGATGGTACTGTAATTTGTGAGAATAGGGCAGTAACCTTTTAGTGTTACAGTGATATTTAATATGTGTTCTCCGTGCCACCAGACAGGCCAGAGCACACGCAGAGCTGACCCTGGGGTGTCGGTGTATACTCAGTAAATGTAGCTGACCAAACTTGTATGCCATTTCTTCATATTTCTTCCATGTTAAAAAGAGTGGGAGACAAGTACCACTTCAAAATGCACAAGTATCATCTTTTAAGTGAATTTGATGTAGTACAATCTCATTTGCAATTGCAAATACTATGGCTGCATTTTCCCCCTTACTCCAAATGCCTGAAAAATCTCATTAATGTTAATGTATGGGGAAGAAGTGCTTAGCCTATTGATGCAGGAATGAAATCAGGCGCAAAGCACAACTCTACAAAGATTCATCAGCAGATTAGGGTCTGAAGCAACCATTAGATTATCAAATCTGACCTTCTATCTAATACAAGCCATAGAATCTCATCCACTTAATTCTGTATTAATCCCAAGAACAGCAACAGAAAAGCAAATACAGTACATTAACATATTGTAATGTAGCAGTATATTCAGGCTTTTTTATTTTTTACTCTAAAACCAGAGGCAAACAGCAGCACTGTGGTATGTGATACTGATCAAAATCTGCAGGAGGAGAGATTTCAGCATTTTATCTGTCTGCAGAGGAGAATTTGTATGTTTGTGTGTTTGTGTAGGCTTTTGTTCGGTTCTTTGAGAAATATTCACTGGTAACTAACCAGTATAAAGCTGACCATTACTTATGTTTCTCTCTGAGGACAGCATAAACTGCAATAGGGATTTTATATTTTTTTTAACAGAAAAAGTAATTTTCTTCAAAAGTCTGTGTGGTCCTTGACAATTTCTCTCTAACATCTTATTTTGGAAACTCCCTGCCAGTCAGATTTCCGAGGAAACATAAAGCACATTTCACATCTGGCTTCTCATCTCTTTGACTATAACACAGAACTGCCCTTGAGGTGCACCTGGGAGGTATTCAGGGGAATACCACACACGCACAAAAGACGAGCCAAGCTGTCTAAAGGAGCTGCACTGGGCTACTGCATGTTTTAACCATTAGCCAACATTTCTGAACAAAGGGGCTAAGAGATGAGATGAGGAAAGTATCAAGGAATTCAGAGGAGAAGTGATGGGTGGCACTGTACAAAATGCAGAGGTTTCAGACTTGGCACATAAATGCTGTCCTGAAATGAAAAATCCTCCTGCCCAAGTTTGAGGTGCTCCTTAGCGTTACCCATCCCACAAGAACATTCCTCTGCAACCCACCACAGCTCAGGGGGAGGGAGAATCTCTGCGGCTCATGTGTTGCAAAAGCTTTTGCTGCCCCTTGGGTGGGTGAAACACAGGCTCTTATGGCTTGTCTGTAACAGCACAGTTTCTGTGTCCTTTCCCTCCAAAGCTCAGAAATCCTACAACTGGCTTTGTCCCATCTTGGGGTTTGGTTTGCATTTTGCCTGTAGAGTGCATTTGGATCCTGTTCTTTGATTATTTTTTTTAATATGAACCTGAGCTAACTGTTGGTATTGAAAGCAAAGATTTGCCCCATGACTGCAGGAATTGGAATTTCAGTATGAAATGCCAAAATGGTGCAAAACATTTTCCAAGGGTATTACACCATCCAGGGGGAAGACCCCTATAACCAAAATCTATAGTCCCCCATAGCAGATGTATAGAGTCTACATTGCCTCAACTGCTCGATTGCAGAGTCCCGTGATTCGTGCTAACCTAACTAGAAGGCATAAGATAAACACTTTTGAAAGTGTTCAGCATTCAAGAAAGAAGGAATCTTAAACCTCCTTATCTATCAAATAGGAAGGTCAGAAACTGCCTTAATACTTGGCTTTGAGGCTAAACTAATTATTGTGCAAATTTGAAATCCACGGGTAAGCGGTGTTAAGTAAATGTAAATAACATTACCAAAACCTTCCCCCTGTTGCTTTGATGCAATTTATTGAGAGTATGTAAAAAGGTGCTTGTAGCAGTGGGGGTAGGGCTGAACAGCAAAGCCTTGTGCCATGCAGAGACACCTCAGGTGGCTCTGAGTAACCAAACTCAGGAGCCCTGTGTCAGCAGGGTCTTTGCTTGGGCTAATACTCCCCATTTCCCAGAGGAGCTCATTACTTCCCTTAGCAGAAGCTCTGGCTGTTGTCACTAGACACAATCTGGGCGGGAGGTGGTTGGTGGCAAGACCATGGCCACCTCTGTGCAGCTGCTCAGTGGACCTCCCCAGAACAGATTACAGCCTCTGCAAAGCAACCAGTAGAAAGTTAGGGGGCAATTAACAAAATAATAAAGGGCTATGGGTGAACGTAGTGCTGCGTGTGTTAGAAGGCCACGCGCTCCTTCTTTCTCTGTCAATATGTCTTTAGCAAAGAGGCAAATTTATAGCTAATACTCTCCCTGCTCCTCAAAAAGTCACATCTGAGTGAATGTTCCCCTTTGGAAATGGCAGGAATCTCCATGGGCTTAATTTCTTCTGCCAAGGTCATAGTCAAGAAACAAGCCAAGATTATTAATTCTCTAGCATAAAAGACATCAGCAACAAGAGCATGTATTGTTTTTATTTCGACAAATTTTCCAAGTCTGGTGTTTTCCCACCCCATCTCATCAGCAAAAGGTCAGGCAGGGTGCAGCACTGCTGTAGCCATGGGATGGATTGCAGTGGTGGGAAGATCCATTTTCGAGGACTAAGAAAAGCAGTAACGACTTCAAAAGATGAAGGTGCTGTAAATACACTAGACATAAGGAAGGCTGTGTGAGTGTTTATGTTCCTTTGTGTTGGCTTCCAAGCAAAGCCCTGGACACTGTCTTTGTGAACAGCATTTAAGCAGCAGGTATCAAGTTTGGAGAAAAAAAGTTTTATCTTCTGGCATAGGAACAATTTTACTCAGCCACATGATGAACTGTTCTATACAGGCAGTAATCTACTTTTCTATGAATTTGTATTATATGCAAAAAGACAGTAAGAGTTTCCCAGCCACTTGACTTATCGGTGCCTGTGCTTTCTTTGCAGTTGTCCAACACAGCAATTCTTCATCAGATTAGACGAGACCAAGTGACAGACACGTGCCGAGCAAACAGTGTATCCAGCAAGAAGCGCCGTGTGCTGACACCCAATGATCTCAAACACCTGGTTGTGGATGAAGATCATGAAATGATCTATTGCTATGTTCCCAAAGTGGCCTGCACAAACTGGAAGAGAGTCATGATGGTTTTGACAGGAAGAGGCAAGTACAGCGATCCGATGGAAATCCCAGCCAATGAAGCCCATGTGTCTTCGAACCTGAAGACCCTCAATCAGTACAGCATCCCAGAGATCAACCACCGCTTGAAAAATTACATGAAGTTCCTCTTTGTTCGTGAACCTTTCGAGAGACTGGTGTCAGCCTACAGGAACAAGTTCACCCAGAAGTACAACACTTCCTTCCACAAGCGATACGGCACCAAAATCGTGAGGCGCCAGAGGAAAAATGCAACCCAGGAAGCTCTGCGTAAAGGCGATGATGTGAAATTTGAAGAGTTTGTGGCGTATCTCATCGACCCGCACACCCAACGAGAAGAGCCTTTCAACGAGCACTGGCAGACTGTCTACTCCCTCTGCCACCCTTGCCACATCCACTACGACCTCATAGGAAAATACGAAACGCTCGAAGAGGATTCAAATTACATTCTCCAGCTGGCGGGAGTAGGCAACTACCTGAAGTTCCCCACCTATGCAAAGTCTACGAGAACTACTGATGAAATGACCACAGAGTTCTTCCAGAACATCAGCTCCGAGCACCAAACGCAGCTGTATGAAGTCTACAAACTTGATTTTTTAATGTTCAATTACTCAGTGCCAAGCTACCTGAAATTGGAATGAGGGATGGGTTGGGGGGAGAGAGGGGAGAGAAAGCCTGTTTTATTTAAGATTTTTATTTGTCATAATAAATATGGAGAATGGGTTATTTTGTAAATTAATATTTTCTTTTTTTGAATGGTGCTGCGAGCAGCACAGTCAAAATTATTTAAATCAACTGTAAGAAAGGACAGCTCTCTTTGCAGGGTAACAGGATTGTGACGATCTAGCTGTAGTAATGAATAATACTGCTACACTGTTTAAAAAAGATGTTCATTGTGTTCTGGTGAATTTCATTGATCTTGCATTCCTCCAATTCTAATTAATGTTATTTATACTTATTTAAAACATGGTCTCTTGGTAGGTGTCACTTCAGCAGCAGAGATAAGATAACATTTGGACAAAAGGAGTCTGGTTTTGTGCTTTCCTCAGTTGAGTTTGTCTTTGGGTAATAATACTCTTCCATTGGCCGTTGACACAGGTAAATAGGGAATGGGTCTTGATGCCACGTGCTCTGAGAAGAGCGGTGGAGATAATTTCTTCAGAAAGTGATATTGCACTTAAGCGTACTAAAAAATTCTGTCTTTCTAGCCCTGAAAGGGAAAAGTAAAACAGATTTAGATAGACTCATGATATCTAAAACCCATGACTAAAAGAAATGTGAATGTATTCCTTGGGAAGAGAAACCATGAACTTTTTATAATTCTGGACTTAATGAGATTATCAAGAACATACCAGTCCCATTGTCTCTCAATTTGAAGCCTGCCAGCCCAATGAATGCAGGTCTGGACTTAATGAGTTTATCATGAACATACCATTGTCTCTTAATTTGAAGCCTGCCAGCCCAATGAATGCAGATTTGCGGGTGACCCATCAAAAAAATCAGCATTTTGAAAGTGACTGTAGAGATTTTTGAATACCCAAAGCAATTGGCATTGACTTAATTTATGTCCTGGATGGGTTTGGAAGCTCCATCCTCTGCAAGTCCTGCCTCCCTAACTAATCTTAAAATGGACAACCAAAATGGCTCAAAAGACAGTGATCATGATGCATTGTTATAAAGGATGTGGTCATGTCATTTTTGAAAAGTCATCTTTATGTTGATCTCTAAGCATGCAAGGCAATAAAAAGGTCTCATCTTCCTACCATGCTGGTTTCATGGCTTTTTCCCAGGGGGAAAGGGGAGTCCTTTTTGAGTTGATGCCTAAATACCATTGACAGGGATGTTTCTGATTTCCAGTGGATTAGTATTTCATTGAAGTCAGCTGTAGTGTGAAACCATGAGCTTTTTAGTTAAGATGAATGTCTCAGTAGCGGTTGTTTTGTGTGTAACAGCTTGTTGGGATGGCAGATTGCACCCGGTGTAGCACACTGAGCAATTGTTTTGGGCAAGGAAGTAGTAATCTGTTCACGGCAAATAAATAATGAAAAATGGGACTTCAGTGTGGCTCTATTAGCAAGCTAGTGAGCAGAAGTACAGGCTTCTCCCAATGTTTGCTTTAATTTGATGCAGGCGAGGTATATGGCCAAGTGGGCAGCAGGTGCCCACCTGGGGAATGGTCTGTAGTGACCCCACGCTGTCCCATCCTGGGCTGGCAGTGCCGGCAGCCAGCTGATGGGAAGGAGGCAAAGGCTTAAGTCAAGGCATTTGTGGGAACCTAAAATCTCTTTTAAAGTTGACTGATGGTTAAAATAGGGTTTTGACTTGCCTGCGTGTCAATCTTATTATGATCAAACCAAGCCCCTCCAAAACTTACTGAAGATTTAAATAAACTCAGCTAAAGGCAGAGTTGTTTTAACAGTATTGGAGCCAGATCCTGAAAATGTCCAGTACAGTACAGTACTACAGTACAGTAGCCGAATTACATCCACCGAATTTTATTAGTCTCCAGGATATATATGTGGTTAAAGAAGAAAAATAGGTTCTGTCTTATTTTATAAAAATAAGTCACTGAATAAATCTCAGCGAAGAACGAATTAACATAACAAACAGCAGCTGAAGTCCTTTCACAATTGGATTTGTTCTTAACCCGGATTCGGGTCATTATTATTTTTTTATCACACCCTACAAATAAATCTCTCATCCATTCTGGAACAGGCAGAGTTTTCATAACCCAGGTCCTGTTTATGACCCGGGGCGCTGACCCAGTGGCTGGTGAGGAGCTGGGCCTGGTCCTGAGCGCTGGCTGGTGTTTTACTTGAAAGCAGTTGTGTCTCATTTAGAGTATGCAGAACTGTTGCAAGTGCCTATCACAGTGTGCCCTGGCTTTCTTTTGTCCGTAATTCAATGGTTATATGTTTGTTAAAAAAAATATAAAACCTGTCTGAGGGTAGATTCCCCTTCTCCCTCCCCCAGTATTTCCCGAAAGCTATTTATGTGCTTGTTTGGTCTTGTATCCAATAGTGCTCATATTTTGGTCCAATTTTCTCTTCAATTCATCCACCTAACAGAATGTGATGTGATTTTTTTTTTCATTTAAGAAAAAAGTTGCTTCAGAAAGTAAATGTTTTAAAAACAGGGTGTGCTTCCCCCTTTCTTTTTGTACTTCTCCCTGTCATCACCACACTTTTATCTGTTCTGAAATACTCTCTTCAGTTTCATTGCTTTGGAGACACAAAAACCCTATTTGACAGCTATGATAGAAAAGCTTTAGGTGAAAAACATGTTCAGGAGATCTGAGGGGTGAGGGCTGCTCGGAGCTGGGATTTTTAGCAGCAGCTTTGGGCTTGATTACCCAGATTCTGCCTCCCCACAGAGGGCTGCCCTATGGGCAGATGCTCAGCACTGAGACGACTTTTATGTGGACTTAAGTGGGTACTTAAAAGTCACTTGCTATTTAAAAACCTTGATCCCCAAATACTACAAACTGTCCATTTAGTGTGTTATATCTATTTTGGGGTGCTGTGAATGGGCTGCAGATCTGTGTTTAAGATGGACAGCTGACGTGCTGGATATGATCGTGGCCCATGTGGTGAGCACGAAGCGCTCGCCAGGTCAGAGGAGGACCACAAATATTAAGGAGTAGCCTTTTTGTTGGTCTACTGGGTGTGTTGACTGAGCCAAAAATTATCTCTTTCCACTGCACCCACACAGGGGGATGTTCAGGGTTGTTCCTCCTTATCTCAGTGAGCTGTCGGCCACCACCTGTAGTGTGAGGGCAGCTGGGGAACTGGATTGGTTTTAGCCCCACCTTTTCACTGGGTTTCCCAGGTGGAAGAGAAGAGGGGATGGTCTGCTCCTGAGTTTTGCTTTCCTCCTGGGTTCATTTCCGTTGTGGCCACAGCTGGTTCCAGGAGGTGAACAGGCAAAACTGCAGCCACAGCAAAATACAGATGTGCCCGTGGGGCCACAAGGGCCACCCAGCGAGCTGCCGTTTTAGAAGGATGTGCATTACTTATGGTCGAGCAGTCGTGGGCTCAGAAGGACCCAGCGGGGAAGGTCCTGCTCCCTATCTCTGCCCCCCAACAGGCAAAACTGCAGCCACAGCAAAATACAGATGTGCATTACTTATGGTCAAGCAGTCGTGGGCTCAGAAAGGACCCAGCAGGAAGGTCCTGCTCCCTATCTCTGCCCCCCACTCCTTCCAAGCCACTGGGCTGGAGGAGCAGTGATCCCCATCTCTGAGCAGCCAATGCCACCCCGTCACTTGGCAGGGCCAGCACTGAGCCCAGCAGCGCCGGTGCCGTAGCTGCAGCCTTTGGGGGGTGTGTTTGTTCCCCTCAATGGCCCCAAGCACCTTTACCTGGAGCCCAGGCTGGATTTGGCCCATCTGAACATGGTGGTGACTCCTGCGTGGTGGGAGGCTCTCCCCCAAACACAAACCTGACTTGGTCCATGCTTCAGCCTCTTCATTAACCATGACCATTATCACAGAAACTTGCAAACTGCCTGAACCATGCGCTGCGTAAGACAAAGTGAAATAAATAATCCACAAGCAGAAGTGCTTTTAGAAGTAAGTTGACCCCAGATGTTTTAGGGTTTCACTGTAGTCTGCTGCACTTTTCAGGTACAAAAAAGGGACTGTCCTTACTATTACTCTTGTTACAGAGAGTGTTATTTTCTTACATGCATGCACAATACAATGTGTACGAATAATTTAACATCGATGTGGGGTTGGATTTTTTTTTTAACCTATTTGTATGCAGTAGAAGGCTTGTTGTAGAAAAGTATCTCCTCATACCTAAATATACTGTTAATAAAGAAAAAAGCTAAATTATACATTGCCAACACAAGTGTGAACTGCTCATGAATCTTTCCTTAAAAAAGCCATTCAAGCCTGATTATTTTTCTAAGTAACTTCAATTAAATTGAAGAAAGAAAGTTCCTCTCTGTGTGCTTTATTTCCGGCTCATGCTTTCAGGGTGGATTTTTAAGAGTGGGATTTTTGTCTGCATAGCTTTGCTTTCTCACTTTGCTTTCTCACCAGGGTCATTGTGGCAGGACAAGCAGAAGACTCAAAATAATCTATTGCCATGGAGCAGGAAAGCTAAAGTCATTTGACAACACCCCTCTTGCTCCTTTCCTTCCCGAGTTCGCAGCCAGCAAGGGTGAGGGTTGTCAATTTAAGACACGTTGCATGCCCAGAAACAGTCTCGCCTCAAACTAGGGTGTTTTAGAGTCAGTCAGATGATATAAACCCCAGCTATCTGATGAGCTTTAGTCTATGTGCTTGCCCACATTCATGTGAACTCACTAACAATGCCTATGAGTTAAATATTTTCAGCAGTCCCCAAACCTGTATGGTTTCATTCATAGTTTTCACTGAGGCCACACCTAGTCCAAAGCAGAAAGTTCCAACTGGGCTTTCAAGAAAAACCTGGTGAGAAGATCAGCACCATAAATGACACTGAGCAAAAACATGCATTCAGAAAATAACTTCAGCATTGGGACCCCGTTGTTGGAGGGGACCCTGTAGGTCAGCTGGGCCACACTAACTGCTGAGGGTCACCAAGACTATGCTGGCCTTGGTTTTGGCTAGCCCCTAAGGCTTCAGTGCCTCCAGGGATGGAGGGCTCAGAGCCTCTCTGGGTGACCTGTTCCAGTGCCATAATACTCTCCCAGCAGAGATGGTTTTTCCTACTGGCCACTGTGAGACTCCTGGCTTTCATGTGTCCATCATCTGTCAATACTGGAGGAAGAGTTTGGATTCACTTTCTTTGTAAGTTCCCTTCAAGCAGTTGTAGACTGCTATTAGATCCCCAGTTATCCCTGTTGTCATCGGACTAAATAAAGCCTGATCACTCAAAGTGCCCTTTTTGGTTATGTGCTTTAAGTAACTGAATGTCTTGGCAGCCCATCTTTGTATCAGCCTCTGCATCTCAACACCCTTCTTAAATTAGGGAGGTCCCCCAAACTGATGCCATATTCTGGGTGCAGCACTGCTGTGGCAAACAGACCACTTAATGTGCCAACCCCACTCCCAAGAGCACAAACAATGAGAGCAGAGACAAAATGAAAATAGGAAATGCGCTGAGTAAGCACCATAGCACATGGTGGGCACTGTCTATCTTTAGAGCCCAAGCATGTTCCCACCCTAAATGCCCCAGCACCCTGAGCTCCCTAATTAATAGGCAGAACAGCAGCACAGCTTCCTGAAATCACAGCCAGTATTAAGAAAACAACCTTCACATTTCAAAACATCCGTGATTTGTTTCCTCTACAATTTCAATCAGAGAGGGAGCTAATTAAGAAGGTCTCGAGAAGGACTTGATCTAAGTGAGCGATTAGCCTGGCTTCAGCCACTCTGCTGATTGCTCTGCCTCCCTTGGCAGCTTGGCAGGGCATGGATTACATATGCTTCAGAGAGATGCAATCTTTTTCTTGGCCGTACATGGGTCTAAAGAAGCCCCTACCCTGCCCTGAGAGAGGCCATCAGCTTCAATGACATCCCTGTGCGGTGTCACGCAGAAGAGAGGGCCAGGAGACATCATCTGGCTGCATGAGGGCAGGTGGGGTAGGGCTGGGGGACTAAGCCCAGGCAGCAGCAGAGCTCAGCCATGGGCAGGGGGAGCAGGGAGGCCTTTAGAAATTTGAAATCACACGCACACAAAATGGAAACTTCCATTTTTTGGGGTAATGGAGAAAGAAATGGTTTCTCCTCACAGCTCTTGGGTGCACAGCTTTTGGGTGAATTTCTTTGTTGCTTGTAAGATAGCGGAGAAGAGCCCAATCCCTGACACTGACAAAATTGGATTTGCTCCAGTGGAAGGGAGCATGAGGATTTGGTTTTCTGGCAAGTCTCAGTTTTTCCACTAAATAATTACAAACTTACAAACGTCCTTTCCCATTGGTACCCAGCGTGCAGCTTCTGCTTCTTGGCTGCCCCCTGGCATGGACCATCAGCTGTTGCTGAACAACAGGAGAACTGGTGGCAGCAGGACCATGGCACCTGCAGGCACTGGGACATGAGCGTGGAGCACTGAGGGATGTGGTGAAGCAGCAGGATCCTGCACAGTTGAGGTGTCCTTTCACCTGGGGAAATGACAAGATCATGAAAATAAGCCCTGTGGAGATGATGCAGAGTTTGAAAAAAGCCTGTCCCTGTGGTTGTGCCACTCTTTGTGCAGGCATGAACTCTGTCAACACTTCCCAACCTTTGTTTGGATGAAAATACATTTCAATTTATTTTACCGTAATTACAAAAAAGTAAATAAATCTGGGAAATTGGAAGGAAGAGTGAAAAAGAAATTAAACAAATGCAGCCGAGTGGAAAATAGAGTATATGCTCCCCAACCGGCAGTGCCGTGCTTTTCTCACTGGCTGCATTACACATCATCACTTAGAAGATTCTTGATGCCACACAAAAATATCTGGCTTTTCCAGTTGCATTTACAACTCTGCCAAAGGCTGAAAATTTTGAAAAATCAGAGTCCAGTTTTATTCTTCCGTGCACTAAAGGACAACGTATCTGTTGTGGTTTAACACCAGCCACCAAGTAAGCACCACACAGCCCCTCGCTCACTCATCCCTAGTGGGATGGGGGAGAGAACCAGAAGGGTAAAATTGAGGAAAAACTCATGGGTTGAGATAAAGACAATGTGATAGGTAGAGAAAAAGCCACACATGCATAGGCAATGCAAAACAAGGAATTAATTCACTACTTGCCATAGGCAGGCAGGTGTTCAGCCATCGCCAGGAGAGCCGGGCTCCATCACACCTAATGGTTACTTGGGAAGAAAAATGCCATCACTCTGAACAACCCCCACTCTTCCTTCTTCTCCCCCCAGCTTTATACACCGAGCAGCTAATCAAATGGTCTGGAATATCTCTTTGGTCAGTTGGGGTCAGCGCTCATCAAATGGTCTGGAATATCTCTTTGGCCAGTTGGGGTCAGCTGTCCCAGCTGTGTCCCCTCCCGACTCCTTGTGCACCCCTAGCCCTCACTGGTGCTGTGTGAGCAACTGCTCAGCAATAACAAAACCACCCCTGTGTTATCAACACTGTTTCCAGCACAGATCCAAAACACAGCCCCATATTGGCTCCTGTGAAGAAAATGAACTCTACCCCAGCCAAAACCAGCACAACACCCAAATGCCACCTCCCCAAATTGCATGCAAATCAGTTTTTAAAAAAATCTGTTTTAAAAGGAAAAAAATTAACTTTGTTTCCGCTATTCAAATGATGAACAGCAGACCTTTTCCCCCATTACTTGAAATGTCAATCTACTGGAGTGCTCAAGCCTCTTAACTGTGAGATTCAACTCATTGTCATTAAATGGCTTCTGTCAGCTGAGTCAGAGGCATTTAGAACTGAAAATAGTGTCTTATTCATGGAGAAAAAGACATAGAAAATATTTCCATTCATTTATAAGTTCTTAAAAATATTTTCTGCCAATATTTTAAGACTGTTACTGATTTTGATTTTGAAATTGTTTCTTCAGACCCTATTTTTTGAGTATATGCAGACCTGAAATAACATTTCTTTAAATGTTTAGTAGTATATGTCTTCTCAGTATGCAACAAATGTACAGAGTATTTTGGAAAAGGAGACATAATATCTCAAGTAAAATTATGTGGGTTTGAAAATCTCATTTCAGTCGGAGTTTTTAATTAAAAAACAAACAACCAGTTTTCCTCAGGAAGAGAAAAATCAATCTAAAGTTTATGCCCTTGTTTCTATTTTTTCACTAATACATAAAGCTGTCAGGGTAATATACTGCTGAATAATAACAGTTAAGCTATTAAGCTTTGGTTTACTCTAAAAACTTGAATTATACTGTGGCAATTCATGAGTTTTTAGCTATCAAGAGGTCTCTGTGCTGTCAGGAGGTATTTCCAGCCCTCCATCAAGTTAAAGCATCTAACTCACAACAGGTGCTAGTTTTCTGTAAAAGCTCCTCCTCCAAAGGCAGGGCTTGGGAGCTGCTTGAACTTAGGCTCAATTTAGTCAGAATTATCTTAGCAGATAACTACTCTAGTTGAAACAGGTTTAATTTTATATCTAAAATACAGATGTTGGGGTTTTTTCTAAAAGCGATTGTTTGCTCTATTAATGCAATCAATCACTGCATTTTTTTTTTTACCACTTTTTGAACTTGAAAGAGATGGATAGGGGAAAAAGAAGGTCAAATCGGATCAGGCAGCTGTGCTGTGGAGAGGCAAGTGCTGTTTGCAGGGGCAGCCAAGTGAATGCTGAGACAGTCATTCAAGAAAAAACAAAGTATTTTCCTTCCTGGAATTATAGCTATACATGATTTGTTAAGAATTTTACCTCAGTTACTGAAAGACATAAAAATTCAGCTCTTTTATAATAATTTTATAATATACTTTGTTATTTTATCATTAAAATGTAACTGCGGTGTATGCAATATGATTTTATGTGCAATATGTATCATTCCTATAGCAGATGCTTTAAGGCTGCCTTTTTCACTTAGGAAAATTTCAAAAATTAAATCCACAATTATTTTTTTTTTTACAAAAAGAAGCCCTTGAAGTCAACAGTGCAAAGATCAGAAGGAGGAACAGCTGAGTGCAATTCAGGTAAGAAATTAAGTCTGTATAACTATGGAAAAGGAATGGGAGGAAGTTTAAGATGGAAAGTCTCTGTTTGGGAAGTCTTCTTGTGAGATATTGAGAATTAAATTAGAGGAAAGAGTTTAAGAACACTGAGGTGAATAATCTTGCTTTGCTTATGGTAGTGTGTTTCAGGTTACTTGGCAAATCTTTGCCAGGGCTATTGGAAGCTGATTAAAAACTCTGAATTACTCACATATAATGTTAGTGAGTGTTTCCATGCTGGGAAATGCAGCCACAGGAGAGTATGTAAGCTCCATCCCAGCTCCAAAGCAAGGAGTTACACACTTAGTTTGCAGTGTCTGGATT